GCATCTGCGGCTCGGCCCGATGATTTTATTACCTCCCTTGGCTGGCTTTTATCCAATCAGGTGTTTGTTTACGCCCGGGAAGTTGAGGGTACCAATCACAAGGTTTCTATCATAACTCCCTTTTAAGCTTGTTTTATCTAACCGATTAAACCTGGCAACACAATTATTGCAGAGTACTCTGAAAGATGTAGAAGGAGTTCCTGTGTATATTTTTAAGGTTTCAGACTTGTCAATTTGTCTGTATGATTTCCCTACTACATCTGAATCGCACAGCGAGCAAACTTCCGCATGCTGCGACGGATATCTTTGTTGACACTGACACGTTCAGTTGTAGCGGCTTATTTGCCTGATTACTGTGAGAATGCAGATCCAGCCAAGGGAGGGAATAAAATTATCGGACCGAGCCGTAGATGCATCAGGGTATAGTGCAGATTTATCGGAACATATATCCTGGGAGATTATCGAGGATGTGCTAAAGGAGTGGTTTGAAAGTTTTTAAGAAGATTAATGACCATTTTTGAAAAATTACAATCTCCACTCTGCTCTAACAGTGACAAGTACTGATGCCAACGACTCGTAGAAACGTAGGAGTGGAGTTCCTTGAGTTTAACGTCGTTTTTGGACAGTAATTCTGTTGTAACTTCGGCATGTCAGCCTAACCTGGACAAAAAGCCCGAAATAGTACACGGTGAAGCAATATGTTTTACAAATACTCCGATGCTGACATACCTAGAATTATACTCAGATTCGAACCCACGCCCACAACTGGTGACTGGCAAACCTCATCCATAATTGGAACAAATCTCAGCCATAATTTCTTACAACTGGGTTTCTCTGTGTATCTTGGCATGCATAGCTTTTCTTAAATTATATATGCAATAAAGAAGAGCTTGAACTGCGTATTTAGCAACAACCATTATCGCTACCTGGGTGGCCCTGAGGTATAAATCATATTACTTTAATACGACAAGAATTGATGTAATGGTCGTACATAGTTATCATAAATATCAGGTCAATACTTGGTTTTATGGCGGAAATATGATTCAGAGAATATATTTGAAACACTTTTGGATCTGAACATCATTATTTTTCTCGGGTTTCGCATATTTCATTTTTTCTGAAGACATCTAGAGCTTTAAATTTGTTATGTTTATGACCAACATCTAAAAAATGGGTAATCAAATTTAAGAGCTGCTTAAATATGATATTTGCGCAAATATAATTTGTATCATAAACCGGAATAATAGCATCCAACTATAAAGCTATTGATGTTAACTGTACCAGGTCGTGGAGTCGAACCCGGATCCAGCAGTGACGCTACTTCGCTACCTGAGGACTAAGTGTAAGACTCTTAACTCCCAACATTTACATCTCAATATGAAACATCTCACCGGTAAAAGTTTTTTAGAAGTGACTTAATCAATTCTCTGTTTTAGTAAGTAGACCTGTAATTATTGAGATTTGTACAAGATACTATTGATGTTACAAGATGTTATTTGTAGTTCCAAATATATGCACCGTTTTGGGATTCTGTGAAATAAACCGACCCTTGACTGAACATCGGCCGAACAAATCATCAAAGTATGTGACGTTGGTGGTAGTTGCATTGTTCATGCTATCAGTAACTAGTTTGCCTTCATGATATGCTATCCGTGTAGGTCTGCTGTTGATCACTGAATTGTCTGGTCCAGACTCGATTATTTACAGACCGCTGCAATATAGCTGGAATATTGCTACAATTAAACAACAAACCAACAGCAAACTAATCATTATATGCCCATGGTCATGTCATGTCTGGCAAAAAGCTGGATATTGCACTAAAATATTTATCCGGGGGGTGGGGTAGCCTAATGGTTAAAGCGTTCGCTCGTCACGCCGAAGGCCGGGTTCGATTCCCACATGGGTACAATGTGTAAAGCCCATATCTGGTGCCCTAGCCGTGATATTGCTGGAATATTGCTAAAAGCGGAGTAAATTTGTCTCACTCGAAAATATATCGATAGATGGACATATGTCTTGCATCACTTGAAGAAATTAGCCAACATGACTGGTTGATGACAACTTTCCTTTTCAGTACGTCTGACGGGCAGCAAACTAGGATGTGGCGAGGGCGGATGTGGGGCATGTACTGTCATGGTGTCCCGATACAACAGTCACACCGACACTATATCGTATCCTTAGTGTGCTTCTTCACTGTCCATTCTTGTAGATGTCTACAAAATCTTGAAATTACGCGAAAATAATAACAGAATAATACGAAACCATAAAATAATCGAAATTTCAAGTTTCCGAAAGAAACATAAATTAAGGAGTAAGTAGTCGAAGCAACAAGAAAACGCTCGAAATTTCGAGAAAATATTTGGAAAAACGAGGAAATACTTGAGCACTCGAGAAAAGATTGAAATAACGAGAAAATAATCGAAGCAACTATAAATATCGAAATTATGAAACGTTAATCGAGTTATTGAAAAATTTAAACTAATATTGTGATAACGGAGAATATTCGGTTAAAATTATTGAAAAGCTACAATTAGGCGTTTGTAACTGGTAGGTAAACATACACGTTGATATTTTTGCTTTAACAACTTGGCCACTACTCAGTGAATGCGTGCCTGGCTCCCGTCTGTTCTCTCCATGGCCTGGCTGTCACTACAGTAGAGGGTATAGGCAGCACCAAGACCAGGCTACACCCAGTACAGGTACGTCTGTTCTCTCCATGGTCTTGCTGTCACAACAGTAGAGGGTATAGGCAGCACCAAGACCAGGCTACACCCAGTACAGGTACGTCTGTTCTCTCCTTGGTTTAGCTGTCACTACAGTAGAGGGTATAGGCAGCACCAGAGCAGGCTACACCCAGTACAGGTAAGGCTGTTCTCTCCATGGTTTGGCTGTCACTACAGTAGAGGGTATAGGCAGCACCAAGACCAGGCTACACCCAGTACAGGTAAGTCTATTCTCTCCATGGTTTGGCTGTCACTACAGTAGAGGGGGTAGGAGGCAGCACCAAGACCAGGCTACACCCAGTACAGGTAAGGCTGTTCTCTCCATGGTGTGGCTGTAACTACAGTAGAGGGTAGAGGCAGCACCAAGACCAGGCTACACCCAGTACAGGTAAGTCTGTTCTCTCCATGGTTTGGCTGTCACTACAGTAGAGGGTATAGGTAGCACCAAGACCAGGCTACACCCAGTACAGGTAAGGCTGTTCTCTCCATGGTTTGGCTGTCACTACAGTAGAGGGTAGAGGCAGCACCAAGACCAGGCTACACCCAGTACAGGTAAGTCTGTTCTCTCCATGGTGTGGCTGTCACTACAGTAGAGGGTATAGGCAGCATCAAGACCAGGCTACACCCAGTACAGGTAAGTCTGTTCTCTCCATGGTCTGGCTGTCACTACAATAGATGGTATAGGCAGCACCAAGACCAGGCTACACCCAGTACAGGTAAGTCTGTTCTCTCCATGGTCTTGCTGTCACAACAGTAGAGGGTATAGGCAGCACCAAGACCAGGCTACACCCAGTAAGGTAACACGAAGTAGTTATTTGTGGTAGGATTACTACTAGGATTATGATCATCTTGATCGGCAGGTCAGAGAGCATGTACCACCTCTAGCGAACCGAAAGGAACTTGAACAGACTCTCTTGAACTTATGAAACAGGATTCCTGCCGACTCCATCCTCCGACTGACGACGTCAATGAGGAGACGTGTATTGGCGTGTATCGCCACATGCAAGATCGGTCCAATTATTGGAAAATGATTTCTGTTGTAAAATCATGTTCATAAATCTCACTGTTTCTATTTTCTGGTCAAGTGAAGTCGGTGATAACTTTGCCCGGTTGTTTATTACTGGAGGTCACAGTGGTATTGCTACTTTCACATATTACCAAGTTCCCATGACATACCAATGAGTGCCATTTGTTTCCAGGAACGCCTAGCTAAAGCCCATGGCTCTCAATGTGGGTTCTGCACACCAGGCATCGTCATGTCCATGTACACTCTGCTCAGAAACAACCCACAACCCACACAACAACAGATGGAAGAAAACTTCAGTGGTACGTTTTTTAATGTATTTAAATTGAGGGAAAGCTCTCGCTCATCAAATCGAATTGAATTCCCAACATGTACACGTGTAAAATGTTTAAAAACGTTTTTGGTGTTCCCTGTCGAGATATTGCTAAAATGGCATAAGATCCATGCTCATTCACTCTGAATATGTCCAATAATTCAAGTAGCATTCTAGACGATGTAGTTTGTTTCTTCAATAACATTCGGTACAAGTGTTTTACCGTTTTTTAAACCAATAACTAACATGTGAGGAGAACATGGCCATAAACGTAATAAATACACAGATTAACAGAACAACTGTTTCATTAAATTGTTTTAATATGTCTGCAATGTGAACAACTTATTAAATATAAATTATAACTATGCATCACAGCAATTCTAAATAGAGAACGAATCAATTATCAGATTCCATTGGACGTGACTCTGGACCAGACAATCCAGTGATTGGTATCATGACAAATGACCACATCGTCGCTGTAGTACTCTTGTGGCATCCGTTGGTCTCATTTAACTGGCTGCTATCTGTTTCTTTGCTTGTTTGTTGTTTAGCGCTTCAGAGATCCGTGGGCTATTGGTCCGTACTTAATCCAGCCAGACAGTTCAGTGACTGATATTACGAACACAAATACACACAACTGGGCTACGATGACATACAATCAGCTAGTCTGACCAATGATACATTTTGTTAGTTTGTTTGTTGTTTAACGCTGCTCTAAGCAATATTCCAGCTATATGGCTGCCCGAAATATACGGCAGTCATAATTATATCGGAACATATTCTCTTAAGACTCATCGAAGATGCCGCTTTCTCTTACCGTTTTACGGGGCGGTGGGGTAGCCTTATGGTTAAAGTGTTGGCTCGTCACGCCGAAGACTCGGTTCGAATCCCCACATGGGTACAATGTGTGAAGCCAATTTCTGGTGTCCCCCGCCGTGATGTTGCTGGAATATTGCTAAAAGCGGCGTAAAACCAAACTCACTCACTGTCAGTTGAAGAACACAGTTCAGCGCTTTGTTGCGTTTGGAACAATTGGACTTGAAGGGATTCTGTGCCAATGGAATTCCATATTGCAGTGGAGGTTCATAAGAACGGTATAAGATGGGTACATGTTGGGTAGATAGGTATGTCTCTGAATGAATTAAACCCTCAGAGTAACCATGGCTACCAGCGCAGAGAGGGAACGTTATGATGTTTCATTAGTTTACATCGCAATATTATATATATATTGTATTTATTTTAGTCACAACGGAGCAAGTAATCATATTCATTTGACAGGTAACCTTTGTCGCTGTACCGGCTACAGACCCATACTCCAGGGGATGTCATCATTTGCAAAGGTAGCTCTTCAGGTCAGCAGTTGTTTAACAAGATCTGAACTGTTATTTCTCTGATATTCGGGGGCACTACGCTGAATGTCTTTGTGGACATCTGTATTTAAATTTCACATGTTTCTGCATGAAATATATTTTGCCCATCTTAGTGTTTCTGCATGTAAGTACCCAATATATAAATATGACTAAAGCGATAAAGAATGCCGCTGCATTTTGGTGTTAGTTTGTTTTTTTCTTTTCTTTATTGAGAATGACCAAATACTTTTGTAAAGTGTTCATGAAATGACTTGCGTCGGACAAAAAAATAAAGAATTCATACATGTTGCTGAAACGAATTTATTATTCATCAGTCTTAACAGTCAAGAATCGTGATATGTCTTTTTGCAGGGCGCTTGCAGTATGGGAAACCAGTGTTGCCGTGTAAGCACCCCAGTGAGCAGTTTTCTTCCAAAAATCATAACAACAGATGTCACATGAGATTTCCTGTGTCAATAATAATTATCTTCGTGGAATAAATAATCTTCATGGTATCGAATAAATGTTCGGTACTGATCCATACGATGCACTGTTTGCCACGCTAGCGAAGGCTTTCCCAAAGTGGCAAACGTCTATATCCCTTTGAGCTTTCCTCCTACGCGAGTCCGTGAAGATCCGGGTTAGAATATTGATCTTCAGCAACCCATATTTGTCGTAGGAGGCGACTTACGGGATGTGGTGGTCAGGCTCGCTGACTTGGTTGACACATGTCACCGATCTCAGTTGCTTAGATCATGGTGTCATTCACTAGATTTTCTGGTCCAGACTCGATTATTTACAGATTGCCTTGATATAGATGGAATATTGCTGATTGCTTTGTTAAACAATGAATGAATGAATGAATGAATGAATGAATGAATGAATGAATGAATGAATGAATGAATGAATGAATGAATGAATGAATGAATGAATGAATGAATGAATGAATGAATGAATATACAAAAACCAAACTCACTCACGAATCTGGCATGTTGTCATGAAAATGAAATATTTGGAAGGCTCACTCAATCACTCTGATGCGTTCTTTGAATATCACGTTTATAGATACGTGTCTTATAACAGCACATTTGCTAATAAAAACCATCTTTATTCCAGGATTCATCAAGTGGAGCCACCAAAGGGCAAGTCGACTGTGGTTCCAATGATGTCTCAAACAGTGGGTCTGATAGTGCCATAAAGTATGACCCCTCACAGGAGCCGATCTTTCCCCCGGAACTAAAGGTGAAATTAACCAGAAAATTTTTAAATGAAGTTTACAAGTGGCACACAAAAGGCAAAGACCTCCATAAAAGCTCCCCCCCCCTTACACAAATATGTCCCCTCTCCACTTGTCCTGCAGCATCATAGTGTATGGCTTTGTGTTAATTGTCATATTGCGACATATTTGCCACATTTCCCCAAAGTTACTTTAAACAACAACCATTTTCAAATACATTTATCTGATATCAAATAATTTGCTTTGTACTGATTTCAGACCAAGTATCAGATGTACGACACTTCACTGAGGTTCTCTTCTGAAGACGTCACATGGTATCGCCCTGTTACTCTCGATGAACTATTTGACTTGAAGAACAACTTTCCCACTGCTAAGATAGTGGTAGGCAACACCGAAATAGGTTAGTAACAATTGATGTTAGATATTTAAACAACTAGCAATGTTATAGCGGGACCTTCTCATCGATACTAAAATCCTACGTCAGTCCCCCTGTGCCGAGTTCAGTTCATGTGTGATATCGTGATGATTGAACACTGTCTCATGTAATTCGTTTGTTCTTTATGTCCATAGGAATAGAAACCAGGGTTAAAAACATGGATTACCCCATAGTGATAGCTGCCACTCACATTCCAAAGTTACATCAAGTTGAGATTTCAACCAATGGCATCACGTTTGGATCATCAGTTTCCCTAGCAACCATGGACGAGGTGCTGAGGAAAGCCGTTACGGATATGCCAGGTAAGTATTTGTACATCCTGTACAGTTACTCTGCAAGCTCCAAATCCAATGCTGATTCACATCTTCTACAATATTGTTGTCTGTTTTAGAATACAAGACAAGAAGCTTCAGAGCCTTTACAGAGATGCATTTGCAAGCTCCAAACATATGCCCCATGTTGGACTAGGTCTTCTAACATATTGTTGTCTGTTTTAGAATACAAGACAAGAAGCTTCAGAGCCTTTACAGAGATGCATTTGCAAGCTCCAAACATACGCCCGATGTTGGACTAGGTCTTCTAAAATATTGTTGTCTGTTTTAGAATACAAGACAAGAAGCTTCAGAGCCTTTACAGAGATGCTGCAGTGGTTTGGTGGTCATCAGATTAGAAATGTGGCGGTGAGGACATTAACTGTTACACATTGTGTGACAGCAGATGTATTAGTTTTTATGCGTAATATTTCCCTATAAATACTCAGTTCTTCATATTAAAACAACTTCGACTTTCAATACAGACTCGAGTTGATGAATATATTACGTTCTATGTATTTGTCATGTGGCATTATTTGAAAACCGTTGGATGGGAACCCTCTTGACTCCGACGTACCTGGTTCAATTTCCTGTATCAGTAAAATGTGTGGTACACTCTTTTGATATCTTCTGTCAAGGTGCTGCTGCAAGATTCCTATCTGCGGCGATAAACCTTATTGACTCACTTCTGTGTAAGTTCTCACGTTTTGAAGAGAATGCAAATACAAAGTTCATACAATTTACGTGACACAAATCAGTAAGAAATAGGAACATCCCTCTCAGATGCCGAGGCGTGCATTTGTCACATATGTTTGTCACCAGAGCATCGGTGGAAACATCACAACAGCCAGTCCCATATCTGACCTGAATCCCTTGCTTGTCGCAGCCAGAGCAACCCTCATTGTTGGAAGGAAAAGTAAGAACTGTTTATTTACTGCAAGTGTTTTGTATTCTTTCATGTACATAAAGTATGAGTGTGTACATATTGGAGACACATTACCTGTAACTTCGCCATTCATATTAAGATAAATATAGAATACACTAAAAATCGTTGTAAATATACTTGACTAGACCCTCGCACTCGCATTAAATTCGTGACGCATTAATTTCATGATTTACAGTAACCCGTGTGAATTTCGTATAATCAGTATCAGAAGAAAAATAGTAAAAATTAGGTAACGAGAGAGCATATTTGAAAAGAGCCGTTTTCGAAAGGTTGATCTATTGGCAATACACTACCTGGCAAAAGAAAGTTATCACTTTTAATGTAATTGTATAAAAAAGCAAACGCTAGTACAGGTTTGAACCCAAGCAGAACACATTCGCCAAAACGCAACTTGACAGTGTGTACCACCTCCAGCGAACGGACAGGAACTTGAACAGACTCTCTTTGACTGATGGAACAGGATTCCTGCTGATGTCATCCGCCGAATGACGACGTCAATGAGGAGACGTGTGTTGGCGTGTATGGATGCCCAGGGTGGTCACACTCGCTGTTGATGACGTGTCCCCCGACTCATGTCTCATGATATGACTCTTTATGCCCTTTTGGACTGAACTCTGATTTGTGTCATTTTTAATTTTGACCCTTGACTCTTTCTTAATGAATTGCGGCAACTGCAAGACCAGCATTACAATGAATGTTCTGTCAAATTGTTGGAAAATGATTCCTGTTTGTAAACTGATTATCACAAATCTCACGTACGTCTTTGTTTCCATTTTGGGGTCAAGTGGACGTCGGTGATAACTTTATTTTGCCCGGTAGTTTACATTTACACTACTGTTCCAAGGATGAGGAATGTCTTGCCATGTATGCGGTGGTCCTGACGTTTGTTTTAAAGAAACTACTTTAACCGCCTTTAGATTAACACGAGAAGAATCTGTCTCATCCAGGTCGGGTTAGTGGTGCGTTTACTTTGAACAGTAGTGTCCCTGTTTTGCAGACAGCAACGCACGAGAGGTCGTCATGGATGGAGACTTCTTCAAGGGCTACCGGAAGACTGCAATCCAAGAGGGAGATGTTCTGCTATCTGTAACGATACCATACACCCGTGAGGTAATATCAATTTATTTTAGAGTTCTTCAGAAGATTTTAGCTTAACCAATCAGAATCATAGATATTGCAGTGGAATTTGTATTTGTAATTAAGTCAAAATGTATCTCTTCAGAACGAGTATTTCAGAGGCTTCAAGCAATCTCATCGGAAGGAGGACGACATCTCCATTGTGAACTCCGGAATGGCGGTGAGATTCCTGGAAGGAACTGGCGTCGTGGAAGACCTTCTGTTAGTGTATGGTGGCATGGCAGCAACGACAGTGTTGGCGTCCAACACCAGGGAAGGACTCCGACAACGGTCAGAGAAAATACTACTAATCACTACTTGTTTTCGTTTCCTTTCGCAACAAATGATCCGAACGCTGAAATGTACAATTTAATGTTTCAAAAATGTCCTTTAGGGAATGGAACGAGCAACTGTTTGAAAGGGCTTGTGAGTTACTGGCGAGTGATCTCCCCTTGGAACCTGGGTCACCAGGTGGCATGGTAGAATACCGCCGTACACTCACAACCAGCTTCTTCTTCAAGTTCTTTGTTGATGTCAGAGAAAAGCTGCACAGGTGCAAGGTAATTTAAAAATGATCAATGCAAAGAAACGATAATCGAATATAATCGATTCAAACGTGATTATTTCCAGCGTGGGTGTACTGATTCATATGCACTTCATCATGTTAGTTATAATCATAATGGACCGTATGTAATGAAAAGGCTGTCTCCCTTATCACCTTATTCTTCCCGGTAGTGACTCATGCAGGTGTAATTTGGGAATAATTTGTAATCTTGTAATATGGGGTGCTATATATCACGAGTCGTCTGTCTCACAGTCCCTGAACCATATTATTTTCCCTACAGCCTAGCCCTCCCTGCCATGCTAAAGCCCCAAAAGAACTAAATCTAGATTTCCTCTACTTTAAACTTACTCCACACCTGTAGATCTTAGTCTGTCTCGTAGTCCCTGAACCACATTATCTTCCATACAGCCTCACCCTCCCTAAATGAAGCGAGTCTAGATTTCCCTAGGTTCGGGATCTCTGGTCTCCCTGGGGCTCCTTTTCAATTCAGTTTATTTGTTCCTATCAAAATGGTATATATTCAGAGACTAAGCGTTAGTCTACCTCAGGAGCAGGAGGGGCTTGCGACCTTCTTCTACGATCTTCCTCTCGACCACATCTGAGTTGCATAACTGCCCTGGTTGCAGGTAGTCGAAACATAAATATCGCATTACTGTCCTTGAAACCACTGCCAACTTGTTCCACCCGCTTGAAGTTTTGGGTGAGGCCAAACGTTTCCACCCTTTGCTCTGACGTGAAGACCTAGGCCTCATCCAGGATTACATTTGGCATCACAATATCAGGATTCTCCTGATCAAGAGGTTCATCATCTGTCGAAATGCTGTCAGCAGCCATTTCATAACTTAATGCTTGCTTTCCTCAGTGAGTTTGTCCGGTCTTACCTTTGTCTTTTCAAAACCAGATGTAGTTAGCAGTCTGTAACATAATTCTTTAAACACGGATTGAGAACGTCACACAAAGCAATATAGCGACCATGAACATGTATATTTGCTATTGATTGCAATATAGTATCGAGTGAGTGAGTGAATTAGGTTTTACGCCGTTTTTAGCAATATTCCAACAATATCACGGAGGGGGCCACCAACAATTGGCTTCACACTTTGTGCCCACGTTCGGATCGAACCCGGATCTTCAGCGTGACAAGCGAACGCCTTAACCACTAGGCTACCCCACCACCCCATATAGTAACGAACTCAAACATGACATATATTAACAGTTTGGGCACTCACTAAGACTTAATAACTTCTCCAGGATAGTGCGCGGGATGGCACAGAAGTTCTCGCGAAGGATGTAACACAGGATATTACACGGGGTGTTAGTGAGGGAGTGCAGCTGTACCAGGATGTAGCAGCTGAACAGGACCCGGATGACGCAGTTGGTAGACCACTGGTACACACTTCCGCTCTACAGCAGGCGACAGGCGAGGCCATATATGTGGATGACCTGCCAAAGGTTGAAGGTTAGAGAAACTCCATATTCCATCAATATGTACAATAGTCCCTATTTTTTATGGCTGTGGTGTGTGCGCCTGTGGTGTGTGCGCCTGTGGAAAAGCCCAGGTCACAAATAAGATGAAGTTCAGCAGCAATGGTTGCAGTGACCGTGTTTGGCAGCTTCACTCCTGAGAGTTTCTAAGACTTCAGTCCTGTCCCACAACGAATCACATGTAATACACCTTTGTCTCACCTAATGTGGTCTCACCTTTGCAAACTTTTCAAAATTGCCACTGTTCACCCGGCAATGAATGGATACGCGGTGGGATAAGATGGTTACATGCCTGAGTCTGTCACGGGCATCTAGTGACTGGGGCGCGGTGGGCGACAGATCTAAGGCGCCAGCCTTGTGATCCAGCGAGCTTGAGGTGCCGGGATCGAGCCCACCTGTGACCGGGTGTAAAACAGTTAGAGTCAGCTTTGTGTGCAGACTCTTTTAGTGTTGTCACAACCCCTAGTGTACAGTACACAACCCTGTGCACTTAAAAGAACCCACGAATGCGTTGGTATGTGACCAGATGGTGGCCACATGAATACGTGCAAACACCTAGTTGCGGGTACTTGGACAAAGTACTATGACCATGTGTCCCAGTCCACCCTGCTGTGTTGGGTACCTCGTAAGGATGGGAAAGCCACATGAACTTGGTGCGCCTAGTGGCTGCAAGAGTTGTATGATTCCCAGGGAGTTGAGATTGAAAGAGATTGACTTGTATTGGTATGGCCAAGGGAATAAATCAGAGTGCCTTTGAGCAGCTGAGCTGAGATGGATTTGGCAATATACAAACATGATATATAATAATTATAACTAGTGCACACTGCACCATTGACCGTGGTAATAATGTTAGCTCTTAAGAGCATACATCCATGTTTGGAGGTCAGCACTTTACAAGTACAGACAGGATTATTATAATACCTCACGATTCATGTGGCAAAGTTGATAGTTTTTCAACAATCAATTATGGATCTACATAGCGAATTTAATCGTGAATACAACAGCCTATCACCATGAATTATAACCGGGCAGTTAACTGTGTAGATCGATGTTTATGTCGCTGGTCACGGGATTGTCTGATCCAGACTCGATTATTTATAGACCGCCACCATATAGCTGGAATATTGCTGACTGCGGCGTTAAACCAACCGAACAACTATACACAATCACATATCGCAATTCTTACGACCTCAGTGCAGTTGAGAGGGATTTGGGATGTAACTTTAACGGATGCCTTAAAACATCCAACGGACATACATGCTTACGATGAATTTGATTTTGTTCTGACAGGAGAGCTGTATGCTGCGTTGGTCGTGAGTACAAAAGCACATGCCAAAATAGTGTCTATAGATCCTACAGAGGCACTACGCATGCTTGGGATCATCGACTACGTCAGCGTAAAGGATGTCCCCGGCGCTACAACGTGGGGTGTGGTCGTACCCGATGAAGAAGAAATATTTGCATCTGAAAAGGTTTGCATTGTACTGAAAGTGTACAGTTAATTACCCTGTATTCCCTGCACCACAATTCAACCCTATGAGTGACTGAGTGAGTTTAGTTTTACGCCGCACTCAGCAATATTCCAGCTATATTGCGGCGGTCTGTAAATAATCGAGTCCGAACCATCTGACAATCCAGAGATCAACAGCATGAGCGTCGGTCTACGAAATTGGGATACGATGGCATGTGTCAACCAAGTCAGCCAGCCTGACCACCCGATGCCGTTAGTCGCCTCTTACGACAAGCATGGGTTACTGAAGATCAATTCTAACCCGGATCTTCACGGGTGCCATTCTATGAACAATCTATTTGTCATAATAGAAACGAAAAATGAAACCTGCAGGCATCAGTTCTCATCAATTATTTTTAGTGGTATTTTCATATAATTTCCATAACCATTTTGTCTCTTCCGCGCAGTATGAATCATACCTTTATCAGATAAACAACAATGAATATTTTGCGTTGATTTTTTTAATTTAATGCATTGTTATTGTTTACACCTTGTTGACTTTTAGGTGATATTTGAAGGCCAGGTGATCGCATGCGTAGTAGGAGAGTCTCAGCAGGCAGCGCGGAGGGCAGCCAAGAAGGTCAAGGTCGACTACGAGGAACTTAAACCAATAATTACAATCAAGGTATGGAAAAGGAAAAGAAACTGGATAAAATGATTTCTTATGTATGGAATTACTGTCAAAATACATATAGTGTACAGAAGAACAAAATTATACGAGTCAGGTCAGTTTATATGAAATTCATTATCTAATTTCCGGCTGAACAAATGATTGGTACAGCTTATGTCGACTTTTAGTATTCGTTTCTGATGGCGTTTCGTGGCACCAGTCTTCAGTTACAGCACTGAACATTCTCTAAAGTTGATTGTTTAATGGTTTTACATCATTACGGGAGTGAGTGAGTGAGTCAGAATTGATCTTCAGTAACCCATGCTTGTTGTAAGAGGCGACTAACGGGATCGGGTGGTCAGGCTCGCTGATTTGGTTGACACATGTCATCGTATTGCAATTGCATAGATCGATGCCATGATGTTAATCCCTGGATTGTCTGGTCCAGACTCGATTCTTCACAACCCACCGCCATATAGCTGGAATATTACTGAGGGGGCTTAAAACTAAACACAATCAGTTAATCATTTACTATTCTTAGACAGGATACCCTGTATCGAATCCCAGACAATAAACACGATTGCACAAATGGTATTAAGTTTATATCTATTCATACAGGAAGCAATTGAAGCCAGTTCCTTCTACGGGTCTGAGGTAACCATGGCAAATGGTGACCTGGAACAAGGTTTCGGAGAATCCGACCACGTTATCGAAGGAGAGGTCCATATTGGTCCCCAGGAACATTTCTACCTGGAGACTCAGGCGGTTGCAGCCAGACCCACCAATGAGGATGGTGGGATGGAGATCATCTCTAACTCGCAGTTTCCATCAGGGACACAGGTATGCGTTACAGTCTCCGACAGGGACACAGGTATGCGTTACAGTCTCCGACATGTACAGGGACACGTGTATGCGTTACAGTCTCCGACAGGGACACATGTATGCGTTACAGTCTCCGACAGGGACACAGGAATGCGTTACAGTCTCCGTCAGGGACGAAGGTATGCATTACAGTTTCGGTCAGGGACACAGGTGTGCAAGAGAGTTTCCGTCAGGGACACAGGTATGCATTACAGTCTCCGTCAGGGACACAGGTATGCATTACAGTTTCGGTCAGGGACACAGGTATGCGTTACAGTCCTCGTCAGGGACACAGGTATGCATTACAGTTTCGGTCAGTGACACAGGTGTGCAATACAGGTCAGGGACGAAGGTATGTGTTACAGTTTCCGCCAGTGACAAAGGTGACAGTGAATTAGAGTTTTGGTCAGGGACACAGGTATGCATTATAGTCTCCGTCAGGGACACAGGTATGCATTACAGTTTCCATCTCATGGACACAGGTATGCGTTACAGTCTCCGTCAGGGACACAGGTATGCATTACAGTTTCCGCCAGGGACACATGTATGCATTAGAGTCTCCGTCAGGGACGAAGGTATGTATTACAGTTTCGGTCAGGGACACAGGTGTGCAATAATGTTTCCTTCAGGGACACTTGTATGCATTACAGTCTCCGTCAGGGAAACAGGTATGCATTACAGTTTCCGCCAGTGACACAGGTATGCGTTACAGTTTCCATCTGGGACACGGGTATGCATTACAGTCTCCGTCAGGGACACAGGTATGCGTTACAGTCTCCGTCAGGGACACAGGTATGCATTACATTGTCCATCAGGGACACAGGTATGCATTACAGTCTCCGTCAGGGACACAGGTATGCGTTACAGTCTCCGACAGGGACACAGGTATGCGTTACAGTTTGCATCTGGGACACAGGTATGCATTACAGTCTCCGTCAGGGACACAGGTATGCATTACAGTCTCCGTCAGGGACACATGTATGCATTACAGTCTCCGGCGGGGACACAGGTATGCATTACAGTTTCCATCAGGGACACAGGTATGCATTACAGTCTCCGTCAGGGACACAGGTATGCATTACAGTCTTCGTCATGGACACAGGTATACGTTACAGTCTACGTCAGGGAAACAGATATACATTACAGTTTCCGTCAGGAACACAGGTATGCATTACAGTCTCCGTCAGGGACACACGTATGCATTAGAGTCTCCGTCAGGGACACAGATATGCATTACAGTCTCCGTCATGGACACAGGTATGCATTACAGTCTCCGTCATGGACACAGATATGCATTAGAGTCTCCGTCAGGGACACAGGTATGCATTACTGTCTCCGTCAGGGACACAGGTATGCATTACAGTCTCCGTCAGGGACACAGGTATGTATTACTGTCTAGGTCAGGGACACAGGTATGCATTAGAGTCTTCGTCAGGGACACAGGTATGCATTACAGTCTCCGTCAGGGACACAGGTATGCATTACAGTCTCCGTCAGGAACACAGGTATGCGTTACAGTCTCCGACAGGGACACAGGTATGCGTTACAGTTTCCATCTGGGACACAGGTATGCATTACAGTCTCCGTCAGGGACACACGTATGCATTACAGTCTCCGTCAGGGACACAGGTATGCATTACAGTCTCCGTCAGGGACACATGTATGCATTACAGTCTCCGGCGGGGACACAGGTATGCATTACAGTTTCCATCAGGGACACAGGTATGCATTACAGTCTCCGTCAGGGACACAGGTATGCATTACAGTCTTCGTCATGGACACAGGTATACGTTACAGTCTACGTCAGGGAAACAGATATACATTACAGTTTCCGTCAGGAACACAGGTATGCATTACAGTCTCCGTCAGGGACACACGTATGCATTAGAGTCTCCGTCAGGGACACAGATATGCATTACAGTCTCCGTCATGGACACAGGTATGCATTACAGTCTCCGTCATGGACACAGATATGCATTAGAGTCTCCGTCAGGGACACAGGTATGCATTACTGTCTCCGTCAGGGACACAGGTATGCATTACAGTCTCCGTCAGGGACACAGGTATGTATTACTGTCTAGGTCAGGGACACAGGTATGCATTAGAGTCTTCGTCAGGGACACAGGTATGCATTACAGTCTCCGTCAGGGACACAGGTATGCATTACAGTCTCCGTCAGGAACACAGGTATGCGTTACAGTCTCCGACAGGGACACAGGTATGCGTTACAGTTTCCATCTGGGACACAGGTATGCATTACAGTCTCCGTCAGGGACACACGTATGCATTACAGTCTCCGTCAGGGACACATGTATGCATTACAGTCTCCGTCAGGGACACAGGTATGCATTACAGTTTCCATCAGGTACACAGGTATGCATTACAGTCTCCGTCAGGGACACAGGTATGCATTACAGTCTCCGTCATGGACACAGGTATACGTTACAGTCTACGTCAGGAAAACAGATATGCATTACAGTTTCCGTCAGGAACACAGGTATGCATTACAGTCTCCGTCAGGGACACACGTATGCATTAGAGTCTCCGTCAGGGACACAGGTATGCATTACAGTCTCCGTCAGGGACACAGGTATGCATTACAGTCTCCGTCAGGGACACAGGTATGCATTACAGTCTCCGTCAGGGACACAGGTATGCATTACAGTCTCCGTCAGGGACACAGGTATGCATTAGAATCTCCGTCAGGGACACAGGTATGCATTAGAGTCTCCGTCAGGGACACAGGTATGCATTACAGTCTCCGTCAGGGACACAGGTATGCATTAGAGTCTCCGTCATGGACACAGATAAGCATTAGAGTCTCCGTCAGGGACACAGGTATGCATTACAGTCTCCGTCAGGGACACAGGTATGCATTACAGTCTCCGTCAGGGACACAGATATGCATTACCGTCTCCGTCAGGGACACAGGTATGCATTAGAGTCTCCGTCATGGACACAGATATGCATTAGAGTCTCCGTCAGGGACACAGGTATGCATTACAGTCTCCGTCATGGACACAGATATGCATTAGAGTCTCCGTCAGGGACACAGGTATGCATTACAGTCTCCGTCAGGGACACAGGTATGCATTACAGTCTCCGTCATGGACACAGATATGCATTAGAGTCTCCGTCAGGGACACAGGTATGCATTACAGTCTCCGTCAGGGACACAGGTATCCATTACAGTCTCCGTCAGGGACACAGATATGCATTAGAGTCTCCGTCAGGGACACAGGTATGCATTACAGTCTCCGTCAGGGACACAGGTATGCATTACAGTCTCCGTCAGGGACACAGGTATGTATTACTGTCTCCGTCAGGGACACAGGTATGCATTAGAGTCTCCGTCATGGACACAGATATGCATTAGAGTCTCCGTCAGGGACACAGGTATGCATTACAGTCTCCGTCAGGGACACAGGTATGCATTACAGTCTCCGTCATGGACACAGGTATGCATTACAGTCTCCGTCAGGGACACAGGTATGCATTACTGTCTCCGTCAGGGACACAGGTATGCATTACAGTCTCCGTCAGGGACAGAGGTATGCATTACAGTCTCCGTCAGGGACACAGGTATGCATTAGAGTCTCCGTCATGGACACAGATATGCATTAGAGTCTCCGTCAGGGACACAGGTATGCATTAGAGTCTCCGTCAGGGACACAGGTATGCATTACAGTCTCCGTCATGGACACAGGTATGCATTACAGTCTCCGTCAGGGACACAGGTATGTATTACTGTCTCCGTCAGGGACACAGGTATGCATTACAGTCTCCGTCAGGGACACAGGTATGCATTACAGTCTCCGTCAGGGACACAGGTATGCATTAGAGTCTCCGTCATGGACACAGATATGCATTAGAGTCTCCGTCAGGGACACAGGTATGCATTAGAGTCTCCGTCAGGGACACAGGTATGCATTACAGTCTCCGTCATGGACACAGGTATGCATTACAGTCTCCGTCAGGGACACAGGTATGTATTACTGTCTCCGTCAGGGACACAGGTATGCATTACAGTCTCCGTCAGGGACACAGGTATGCATTACAGTCTCCGTCAGGGACACAGGTATGCATTAGAGTCTCCGTTATGGACACAGATATGCATTAGAGTCTCCGTCAGGGACACAGGTATGCATTAGAGTCTCCGTCAGGGACACAGGTATGCATTACAGTCTCCGTCAGGGACACAGGTATGCATTACAGTCTCCGTCAGGGACACAGGTATGCATTACAGTCTCCGTCAGGGACACAGGTATGCATTACAGTCTCCGTCAGGGACACAGGTATGCATTACAGTCTCCGTCAGGGACACAGGTATGCATTACAGTCTCCGTCAGGGACACAGGTATGCATTACAGTCTCCGTCAGGGACACAGGTATGCATTACAGTCTCCGTCAGGGACACAGGTATGCATTACAGTCTCCGTCAGGGACACAGGTATGCATTACAGTCTCCGTCAGGGACACAGGTATGCATTACAGTCTCCGTCAGGGACACAGGTATGCATTGCAGTCTCCGTCAGGGACACAGGTATGCATTACAGTCTCCGTCAGGGACACAGGTATGCATTACAGTCTCCGTCAGGGACACAGGTATGCATTACAGTCTCCGGCAGGGACACAGGTATGCATTACAGTTTCCATCAGGGAGACAGGTATGCATTACAGTCTCCGTCAGGGACACAGGTATGCATTACAGTCTCCACAGGTCAGGGTCACACAGGTATGCATTACAGTCTCCGTCAGGGACACAGGTATGCATTACAGTCTCCGTCAGGGACACAGGTATGCATTACAGTCTCCGTCAGGGACACAGGTATGCATTACAGAGTCTCCGTCAGGGACACAGGTATGCATTACAGTCTCCGTCAGGGACACAGGTATGCATTACAGTCTCCGTCAGGGACACAGGTATGCATTACAGTCTCCGTCAGGGACACAGGTATGCATTAGAGTTTCCGTCTTGGACACAGGTATGCATTACAGTCTCCGTCAGGGACACAGGTATGCATTACAGCCTCCGTTAGGGACACAGGTATGTATTACTGTCTCCGTCAGGGACACAGGTATGCATAAGAGTCTCCGTCAGGGACACAGGTATGCATTACAGTCTCCGTCAGGGACACAGGTATGCATTACAGTCTCCGTCAGGGACACAGGTATGCATTACAGTGTCCGTCAGGGACACAGGTATGCATTACAGTCTCCGTCAGGGACACAGGTATGCATTACAGTCTCCGTCAGGGACACAGGTATGCATTACAGTCTCCGTCAGGGACACAGGTATGCATTACAGTCTCCGTCAGGGACACAGTCATTACAGTCTCCGACACAGGTATGCATTACAGTCTCCGTCAGGGACACAGGTATGCATTACAGTCTCCGTCAGGGACACAGGTATGTATTACAGTCTCCGTCAGGGACACAGGTATGCATTACAGTCTCCGTCAGGGACACAGGTATGCATTACAGTCTCCGTCAGGGACACAGGTATGCATTACAGTCTCCGTCAGGGACACAGGTATGCATTACAGTCTCCGTCAGGGACACAGGTATGCATTAGAGTCTCCGTCAGGGACACAGGTATGCATTAGAGTCTCCGTCAGGGACACAGGTATGCATTACAGTCTCCGTCAGGGACACAGGTGTGCAAGACAGTCACCTTCAGGGACATAGGTATGCATTACTGTCTCCGACAGGGACACAGGTATGCGTTACAGTCTCCGACAGGGACACAGGTATGCGTTACAGTCTCCGACATGTACAGGGACACAAGTATGCGTTACAGTCTCCGACAGGGACACATGTATGCGTTACAGTCTCCGACAGGGACACAGGTATGCGTTACAGTCTCCGATATGTACAGGGACACAGGTATGCGTTACTGTCTACGTCAGGGACACAGGTATGCGTTACAGTCTCCGACAGGGACACAGGTATGCATTAGAGTCTCCATCAGGGACACAGGTATGCATTACAGTCTCCGTCAGGGACACAGGTGTGCAAGACAGTCACCTTCAGGGACAAAGGTATGCATTACAGTCTCCGACAGGGACACAGGTATCCGTTACAGTCTCCGACAGGGACACAGGTATGCGTTACAGTCTCCGACATGTACAGGGACACAAGTATGCGTTACAGTCTCCGACAGGGACACATGTATGCGTTACAGTCTCCGACATGTACAGGGACACAGGTATGCGTTACAGTCTCCGACATGTACAGGGACACAGGTATGCGTTACTGTCTCCGTCAGGGACACAGGTATGCGTTACAGTCTCCGACATGTACAGGGACACAGGTATGCGTTACAGTCTCCGACATGTACAGGGACACAGGTATGCGTTACAATCTCCGTCGGGGACACAGGTATGCGTTACAGTCTCCGACAGGGACACAGGTATGCGTTACAGTTTTCGTCAGGGACATAACTATGCATTACAGTTTCCGTCCTGTGAGGCGTTACAGATTATACATGGAACTATTCACTGCGATTATATATATACTACAGTGTACGCTACACTTGGAGATTATGAACAGGCAAATTCACAGGTGTTCTACATGCATGCATAGATTATGGTCATGTAATTCAGATGTTTTCTACATGCATGCGTAGATTATTAACATGTAGATTTAGATGCATAAAACATACATACAGTTATAGATTAATTAAGCACACACCCCACTCACCCTCCCACGCACGCACGCACGCAAAACACACACACACGCACACACACATGCTGATACATGTATTGTCTTCCATCTTCGTCACAGCACAAAGTTGCAGCAGCACTGAATGTCCCAGCAAACCGAGTGGTGTCCAGAGTGAAGCGATTAGGTTCGTATACAGTGACAACAGCAGTTGATCGTGCAGTCAATAGTGAGCTATATAACTAAATAGAAAACCTTTCGAAAGATGTCTCAATGTTGAGGCTGGAAGAGGTCCTTGGGTCAAAGTGACATTTAGCCAAATATACGATGTAACAATACAAATTGCAATTAGGTCCAGACGAAGTTGTAAAATGATGATAATCACTGTCATTTTTTTTTATTTATTTATTCTTTCTTTCTTTCTTTCTTTAATAATGATAATCACTGTTATTTATTTATTTATGTAAATGCATGTAGCAATACAAATTGCAATTACTTCCAGACGAAGTTGTGTAATGATGATAATCACTTTTATTTATTTATTTATATATTTATTTATTTATTTATTTATTTATTTATTTATTTATTTATTTATTTATTTATTTATTTATTTATTTATTTATTTATTTATTTATTTATTTATTTATTTATTTATTTATTTATTTATTTATTTATTTATTTATTTATTTATTTATTTATTTATTTATTTATTTATTTATTTATTTATTTATTTATTTATTTATTTATTTATTTATTTAGGAGGTGCATTCGGAGGCAAGGAGGTTTCTACGACTCACATAATTCTCCCCGTAGCTGTAGCAGCAGCAAAGTAAGTCCAATATATCTTTGTGTGACATGCCACCATTTATAACTTCTAATGTTGCAATATATTCGATTAATGATTGTTATTGTGATTATTTTATTATATTCTGTTCATCATTCTTGTTATGGTCTATCATAAAAGGGATTGTCATGATGTTTCAGTACAGCGAAGGAAATGTAGACATCATGTGCTTTTTCAAAGTTTATGTTTTCTGTGTCATCATAAGAGCGGACCAGTCGCATCATTTGAAACCAGGCGTCAAAACCAATTTAACAAAGAGGTGTTGTAAGTGAATGGGTATAGGAATGGTCTATATTTCAGATTGAACCGGCCGGTCCGGTGCATGTTAGACCGAGACGACGACATGGTGATGACAGGGACAAGACATACCTATCTGGCCAAGTACAAGGTCAGGTCATGTTGAAACTATCTGGCCAAGAACAAGGTCAGGTCATGTTGAAACTATCTGGCCAAGTACAAGGTCAGGTCGTTAAGAAATATAGGACAAGTACAAGGTCAGGCCATTTTGAAACTATCTGGCTAAGTACAAGGTCGGGTTATGTCGAAACTATGAGGCCAAGAACAAGGTCAGGTCATGTTGAAACTATGAGGCCAAGAACAAGTTCAGGTCATGTTGAAACTATCAGGCCAAGAACATGGTCAGGTCATGTTGAAACTATGAGGCCAAGTACAAGGTCAGGTCATATTGAAACTATCAGGCCAAGTACAAGGTCAGGTCATGTTGAAACTATCATGCCAAGTACAAGGTCTGGTCATGTTGAAACTATCTGGCCAAGTACAAGGTCAGGTCATGTTGAAACTATCAGGCCAAGTACAAGGTCAGGTCATGTAGAAACTATGAGGCCAAGTACAAGGTTAGGTCATATTGAAACTATCAGGCCAAGAACAAGTTCAGGTCATGTTGAAACTATGAGGCCAAGTACAAGGTTAGGTCATGTTGAAACTATGAGGCCAAGAACAAGGTCACGTCATGTTGAAACTATCAGGCCAAGAACAAGGTCAGGTCATGTTGAAACTATGAGGCCAAGAACACAGTCAGGTCATGTTGAAACTCTCTGGACAAGTACAAGGTCAGGTTATTTCGAAACGTGTTAGTTTTCTGAAGGTAAAGGAAACCCCCTTACCCGCGTGTCTGTTCGTAGATACTCCTAGCAAATGCAGCAGTGGGCAAGGGACTGTCTGCTGACCAAATGTCTCCTCGCCGTTCTATAAAAATAACCAACAACTGATATTGCTGGATCGGAATATTTCAGCGAAGTGCACTGGAGGATTCATGAGTCTGTAGGTCACGTGTTGTTATAAGTCCTCCAGCCATTGGACATGTGTCGATGGCTTCCTTTAAGTCCTATACTGATAGGTAATACACCGACAATTGATGTTATTGATTTTTAATCTAGTTCTGTAGATGTGTGGCTTTGATCGCATTTGTGTACCCCCTGTAGGTTGGATTCACGAGGACTGGACTGGTCAAGGCGCTCGAGGTCAATCTCTTCTCAAATGCCGGATGCACTGAGGAGAATTCACATTCAGTAAGCTATGCAGAGTTAATGGAGGTTGACCCCAAAAATAATATTGCATCTGATTATTGATTTGCGAACATAAAGCCTTTAGAGAAAGTGTGTGTGTGTGTGTGTGTGTGTGTGAGAGAGAGAGAGAGAGAGAGAGAGAGAGAGAGAGAGAGAGAGAGAGAGAGAGAGAGAGAGAGAGAGAGATTTAAAAGCTTTCAGGACAAAAGAAATTCTTTCCTACTTTCGTCATGCGTAGTTGTCGTTACGATGGAAACAAAGGTATAGTAAAACAATAGTAATCAAGGTCCTTCAAGAAAGTCAGGATAAATGATGGTTTCAAATTTAAAAGTATTCGTGCTGTAATGCCTAATTCATAATAATATGTTCAATCAGAAGTATGGAATAATCCCCTTTATAAAATAGGCAGTACTGGAAAACGTATTATGAAGAAGTGAAAGTATTTTGGAACAAATTGAAAAGCGTAAGCTGAGTTTAACGTTGCTTTCAATTTTTGTTCGCCTGAATCTTGGAGTGTCAGCCACGTGATGCAGGTGATGATGAACCGGAAAACATCACCAGTGCTTATCTAGTATTTGTGTTCTAGTCAAAATGAGAACTGATGACAAAATTTGAAATAGTCGACACTGTCGGTTACTAGGTGATGGCCCGTTCTCTCCGCTCCAGCGACAACGCTTACAACATCCCCAGCATCAAGGTGACAGGGTATGTGTGTAAAACTAACATTGCCTCGGCAACAGCATTCCGGGGTTTCGGTGCACCTCAGGCGATGCTGGTGACGGAGACGTGGATGGATGCTGTAGCTGACGTCGTAGGGAGATCACCTGTTGATGTACGTTGGTATTTAAGCTTATGTATTATTTTTATGACAGGAAAACGTTGAAAATTATTACACACGTGTTCTGAATATCTTTATGAGATAAATTTGGTTATTTGGTGTCCTGGGATAAGTTTTCTTTTCAAATGAATATTTGTAATTGTTTATTTTCATCTATAAAGTAGTCGTAACAGAGTTATCTCCCTTTCATCTGATTGCTTTGTCATCATGGATCACACTCTTATCCCGTCCTGTGTGTAACAAATAAATCATTAAATTCGTGGAATATGGAAATATTCCAGATCATTATTACTAAACTTTTTTGATTTATTCACGAGCGGATCCACTCGTTTTGTTATCGCTGTATATCTACATATACTGAACGTTATTGCCATTTTGCATTTGACTGATATTTTTAGTCTATTTATAACATGTTTAAAAAAGTTGAATACATTATTAAGTTTTATACCTTTTCGAAAACACCTGGTATCGTCATAGTAGTGATTCATAAACAAACGCAGTGTGTAACGAATACGAATTAACGAATTGTTTCTTTGGGTTCCGAGACCGCCTCCGTGGTGTAGTGGTTAGAGCGTCCGCCCGGAGAGCGGAAGGTCGTGGGTTCGATCCCCGAACGCGTCATACCAAAAGACGTTAAGATATGGTACTTGTTGGTTCCTGCCTGGCGCTCGGCATTAATGGGTACAACAGGGACTAGTCGGCTCGGAGTCAGTATAATGCGTTTGAGTGAGGTGTTCATGCTTCACTGCGGCATGGTATCTCAGTGGGCTAGCACTATAAAACCAGCTTAAGTCTGGGCTAGTACAAGCAGCCGCACATACACATACACATGCACGTCGTCATATGAGAGAAATATTCTCAAGTACGACGTAAAATCCAATTTCACCTCACCTCACCTTTGGATTCCGATCACTTGCTGTATATTTTTATTGAAATGCGAACGAACTACGGATATCTCGAACTATAATTAATGATCCCCTTTGAGTTCGTTATAAATGTAGTTTGCTGCGGACAGCACTGTAAGTCGACTCTGCTTTAGCAGGTATTTCTTGTGGAAATGGAATGGGTTTTGTTGTTTTATTAAAATGTGCCATGAAGACCACCAACCGATGTCATTATCATACCTGGGGCGGTGGGGTAGCCCAGTGGTTAAAGCATCATGCCGTAGACCGGGTTCGATTCCCTACATGGGTACAATTTGTGAAGCCCATTTCTGGTGTCCCCCGACGTGATATTGCTAGAATGTTGGTAAAAGCGGCGTAAAACTAAACTCACTCACTCACTCATGATCATACCTCGTCAAACTCAAACATGTGTTCACACAAAATCGTTTACTTCAAATATTCTCTGCGCACCAAAGGTACGTGAAATGAATCTGTACAAGGAAGGTCAGTTGACCTACTATGGAATGGAGGTCAAGAACGTCAATGTCCGGCGCATGTGGGAACAATGTCTTCGTCAGTCAGAATACGTCGTTAGACGACAGTACGTGGACGACTTTAACAGGTGTGTTCAACACAGGTCGTCTATATTTACAATTATTGTTACTTGTAATTGGTTAATTCAGTTGCATTTTACAAAATATGTCACAACTTTTGTAAAAAACAATGGAGCATTCATGAAGCTCTCTTGTGAGTATTTTGTCAATTCCGAGTTAAAGTACAGTTAACGTACAAAATTTTATGTCAATTTTTTTTGTAATTTGTATCTCAATATATTTGACTGAATGTTGACTGACATGTTTATTGAATGAATGCAAGCAAACATCGTTGGAAGAAGAGAGGACTGGCGCTCATACCTACCCAGTACGGAATTTCGTTTGGAGCTCCCTTGGACTTTCTGAACCAGGTGTGGTAGCACAGAGAATGTGAGTGAGTGAGTGGTGGGCTAACGAGTATTTATCGCCGCTGATTTCTCTTAAGACATTAGCACAGTCTGGTCTGGTTCCCGGGGTATACTGCGCTGGCGCTTCACTAACCCCGACAAGGACTGCACAATGGCGGCCCCAACTACTTGGTGACACGCCATATGTACACGGTTACTGGCATTGTTAAGATTATCATATTTAACGTTTATCTCGGTAATTAGCATTATTGAATTAATGTACTACTGGGGTATCTTGTTGTTTAGCATCTATTTGCTTTCAAGAGCAGTTGAACCGTGAAGATACGGGTTAGAATTGGGCTTCAGCAACCCATGCTTGTCATAAGAGGCGACTAACGGGATCGGGTGGTCAGACTCGCTGACTTGGTTGACACATGTCATCGGTTCCCACATCGATGCTCATGATTTTGATCACTGGATTGTCTGGTCCAGACTCGATAATTCACAGACCGCCGCCATAGAACTGAAATATTGCTGAGTGCGGAGTTAAACAAATAAACAAATAAACCAAATCAATCAAGTGCAGATCTCCCAAACGAATATCGAGGATGAGTGACTATTTGTGATTACACCTTGTGTTTTGGATCTAAATGTCTTCATAAATTAGATACTAGTAGCTACTGGCACTTTCGGACCCACGGCAGATGATTTTATGTTCTAGTGGGATAGGGTATATCATAAAATGTAACTTGTTGCAGAAAAGAAAGGAATTATATAAATAATCATTATTATACCAGTCATTTGCTCGTCACGCCGAAGGCCCTGGTTCGATTCCCCACATGGGTACCATGTGTGAAGCCTATTTCTGGTGTCCCCCGCCGTGATATTGCTGGAATATTGCTAAAATCAGCGTAAAACTATACTCACTCAATATATAAAACATCTATTTGTTCCAGGCATGTGCGCTGGTAACGGTCTACATGGATGGCTCGGTGATGCTTGCCCACTGTGGAACTGAGATGGGGCAAGGGCTGCACACTAAGATGAAGCAGGTAACAGGTAGAATGTGCTAGTGACAGAGAGAGAGTGTACATATCTTGCACATCCGGCCGACGACGGTGATGTGGGGAATGAAGCAGGCGTCGTCAATACCAGACACGGCCATCGTCATCACCTAAACACAGTCTATGTGAAATCCATCTGGATGCAAGACGTCGAGGAACTGGCAATCAAGATTTATTGAGTGGTTGATTGAGTGGTTGATTTATTGATTGATTGATTGATTGATTGATTGAGTGAGTGAGTGAGTGAGTGAGTGAGTGAGCGAGCGAGTATGGTTTTACGCCGTCTTTGACACCAGAAATGTACTTCAGACATTGTACGCATGTGGGAATCGAGCCCGGGCCTCCGGCGTGACGAGCGAACGCTTTAACCACTAGGCTACCATACTACTCCGTAATTTGTGAGACAACCACAACGTCTCCATCTACCCTCTTGCAGGTGGCCAGTCGCTCCCTTGGAGTCCCTGCACAGGACATTTACACCCAGGACGTGTGTACTGATAAAATCCACTTCACAAGTGGCACCGCCGCCAGCACTGGGTCTGATCTCAATGGGGGCGCTGTTCAGGTATTGTGACATAATTATTGATTATGTATCAAATATGTTATATTTATTGTGCATATTGTGAGTGAGTGAGTTTAGCTTTACGCCACACTCAGCAATATTCCAGCAATATGGCCTGTAAATAATCGAGTTTGGAACAGACAATCCAGTGATTAACAGAATGAGCATCGATCTACACAATTGGGATACGATGACATGTGTCAACCAAATCAGTGAGTCTTACTATCCGATCCCGTTAGTCGCCTCTTACGACAAGCATGGGTTACTGAAGATCAATTCTAATCCGGATCTTCATGCATATAGTAATAAGTCATCTTCTATAGCGCACAGTCTCCAAACACCAAGTGATTGTTTGCGGCGCTTAATCAGAATCTGATTCCTATTACCCCGGATAACCCAAGCTGCCTGTTAGGCGCTAGAAGGTTATAGTCACATGACTTATACAACCGTGAACCCATTTTCTGCTTGGTGAACAGAGGCAGTTTGAACAAACTCACGTGCCTAAGGTGAGACCACATGCATCACATGTGCTTCGTTGTATATGTGGCAGTATTATTCATTTTGAAACAGTAATAAATACGTGTAATGCACAGTATCTGTTAAGATTCAGTAGATGGCAGTAATGTGCTATACGTTGTCTGGGTGACGAGACTGGTGCGGAAGTTTTTCTAGATCCTACGGGTTATTCCAGTATCGCCTAATGCTATGTTCACACTATCACGATTAACATTGTGGTCTTAATCGTGGACTAATCGTGGTGAACCTATCAGGGCCCTGTTCCTCAAAGCGATCGTAGCGCTACGACAGTCGTATGTCTATGTTAAAGTATGGGAGTTACGATCACCCTAGCGCTACGATCGCTTTGAGGAACGGGCCCCTGATCCTATCAGGTCAGTCGTAGCAATCGGGTTGATCGTAGAAAATGTTTGGACGGTTCAAAGATTTTCAACGATCAACACGATTAATTGTCAATCGTCATCATCGCATCAGATCGTATTGAATCGTAACAATATCGTAACATATCGTGACCACCCCGATCGTGATCGTGAAAGACATCGCGACCACAATCGTATCCTATCGCAACAGAGTGCATCGGTTTGTGATGAACGTATCGGAACGTACCTGCTCGTACCACATCTTCCCAAATCGGGGACCCCGATCGTAATGATCGTGTCAGATCGCGACCCAATCATGGAGTCGATAGCGACAATCCTATTACAACGTATGTTATCGGGACATCAGATCGTGACAATAGCACACCTAAGCGCAACAAATCGTATCAAAACGTATCGACTCGCATCATCTCGCATCCAAATGGGATGGTTTTCAGTGTCTGTAAGACAAAAGGTAGAGGGTTTCAGATATTTATTAAGATTGAAATCTTTGCATCAACATCGGCTGCCATATGTAATTCATCGGTGGGCAAATGTGATTACTTCCTCTTGGGACAACAAGTTAATGAGTATCGTTCGACAATATAACTGTGCCCATTTGTTAAATAATAATTGGGAAACTAAATCTGGTGTAAAATATTTTAAAGAAGTTTTAATTCACGAGGACGTATCAAAATGGCGCCCTAAGCTCTGGGGTGATGATGGTAACGTTAATGGGAATAAGCTACGAACTTACAGAAAGTTTAAGGTCTCCCATGCTGTAGAATTTTATGGAAAAAATGTTATCTTTCGAGACCATCGTTGTATGTCAGCTAAGTTTAGATGTGGAATTTGACCACTGTATGTTGAAGCAGGTAGATATACCAAGCCTTCTATACCACTTGAAGAGAGGTTATGTAAATATTGTAAAAATGCTTGTACATATTTTATTGAAGATGAGTTTCAGTTTTTTGATCCAATGTAGTTTTTGTAAGGACATTAGATTTAACCTTTTCAAGGCAGCTGCAGAAAGCAACGGTAATTTTAATCATATTGTGATGAGGATAAATTCTTTTATACAATGAATTCCGATGTTTTACCCAAAGAATTAGCAAATGTACTTTATAAAATGTTTAAGAGACGGCAAATGGCGGAATAACATTAATCTTATATATACAGTATATATCTAATTTACGCATTTGTATTTTTGGACTTATTTTATCATGATTATTTTAAGAATACCCTGTTATTCTTTTTCTTTCTCTTTTGTTGTTTCATCGAGGAGTCTGTTGTTGTTATCAGTGTGTCTTATCTACAATCTGACAAAATTTCTATCTCCCATGTTATATTCTATCATGTGTACCATTAATGTACTTATAATGTATTTATAGTGTCTCGTAAGCCCATGTATGGCTGGTTGACTTCCTTTAAAGTGTTTTATGAGATTCTGTACTTTACTGTAAATGTTGTGCGTGTGACACTTTAATAAACATTTTACTACTACTACTACTACTACTACTACTACTACTACTACTACTACTACTACTACTACTACTACTACTACTCCAAACCAGAAATTTCAGAGAAGTTCCACGATCAGCTACGAATGGCCAATCGTGGCATTCGTAACGAATCGTACGACAGTGTGAACCTAGAATAACCAAGAATATTATGGAAAATTCCAGAACTCTGTAAATATAAAGGGGTGTGTTTTTGCCTTGGTCATCTCACGTCACATCTCACGTCATATCTCACGTAACAAGATAATTAACAGTTTCACACTGTTTATTTATACAAAGTTAACATGAAAACTGAGTGAGTGAGTCAGTCAGTGTGGTTTTACGCCGCTTTTAGCAATATTCAAGCAATATCACGGCGGGGGACACCAGAAATGGGCTTCACACATTGTACCCATGTGAGGGGCCGAACCCGGGTCTTCGGCCTGACGAGCGAACGCTTTAACCATTAGGCTACTCCACCGTCCCAGTTTCAACTTGCGAATCAACAGCAACAATTGTCAAAACCTGTGTTTGACAGCCGTATTCAAAGTTGTTCCGTTCTCCTTGTCGCAGCGTACGACCTACTGGAAATATTTCTTACCTGTTGTCCCCACATTTCACTTTACATTACTGTTTTCTCCATTTCCCAGAACGCCTGTGAGATCCTCTCTGAGAGACTGCAGCCATATAGGGACGCCAACCCTAAAGGAACGTTCAAAGATTGGGTGAGCGTGAACTACGACGATGATGTGATTCTGACCGCTCCACTTTTCACATGCATGGTCATTAATCAAGCAGTGGTACAGTACTGTCCCTAACGACACTACTAATGTTCTCCCACAAACACTCACTCTCTCTCTCAGACTGGTTCCCGGGGTATGCTGCGCTGGGACTTCACTGGTCCCGACATGGACTGCACAATGGCGGCCCCCACTACTTGGTCACACTCCATATATGTATACTATGGATCAATCCGCCCATGTGTTCGTTACTTTTAGAGAGGAACACGTTATTTAAGCAGTTTTGAGACACGAAAGCTGTCGTTACATGGCCAAATGTAAACAATGACTCACCGATTTCAACATCGACATGTGCATTGATATTTCGTGTCAGCTCGCTATTGTCACGAAACTGTGCACGCAATACATGGAACCTTTAAATGCCGTCATTTAGCGAGTTCCCAGTAACCAATGACAATGTACAATAAAAATTATATATTTTGATGCACTATATGCTTACACTGTTTCAATCAATGTTTATAAGTATGTTCTTCAATGATGATAACCTGCACGATAGCCTGAGGTATTTTGATAGAATGTAATATTTAATAAATATATCAAATTAGTCTTTAATTTAATCTAAATATCTTTCTGGAATATTACAGGTAACAGCCGCCTACTACGACCGGATACATTTGTCGGCAACGGGATTTTACAGGTGTTTCACGTACTCTTTTTAAATATTTACGAGCGAACGCTTCAACCGCCAGCCTTCCCATTGTCATTTTGGTTTTAGGGTTGTATATGTTTCTTAACAAATTCGTTTGCCGTTCAAATAAACATAAAAGTATACTAATTTCGTCGGTAGATGGAGATCCGAAGCATATATCACTGGTTGGTTCAGGCACGATGACTCTTTTTCCGTAATTAGTTGATAAAAGCAGAACCCATAAAAGGATTCAGATAATGTCATGAAGATGTTTATGAATCACTATCTAATATTGATGATACCAGGCCCCAAGCAATTTTTAGACTTAAGTCACGTTCATGACCCCGGGGCCAGGTGTTCGCGAAAAGGTGTGTATTTCCTTCCCCGTCGGTGACGCCAGTGATACACGCAAGGCCAAGTCAAGTATATAGGAAGACAAGAGAATCCGGGCAGCTACTATTTTGGTGAAACGTCACATTTATATTTTTATATAGAGTTATTGTATCCTTAATTTTATAACCTGTTGCAAAGAACCTTTGAGCAAGAGTCGTGTGACGCTCTTAAACATGTAGAAAGTCATGCAATATTGTACCTCAAGTTGTGAAATGCTGACATCATTGCCCGACATGAAGGGAAGTTGACTACCGACAGTTGATGTCAAGGTTCCCGTCAGGATAATGTGATGTCACTCTAATCTTTATATTGACCTAAGGGACCGTTCAAAATTTATGGCTGGGGGTGATGATGATTTTTATGGTGAAGCATGTACAATGTGAATGAACCCCCTAAAGATAAATGACCCCCTGCATGTCATGTACAAAATCAATGACCCCCCCCCCTACCCATAATTTCTAAGCATAATTCTAAACATATTTTTATGTACAAAATTGATGACCCCTTGTACGTGTGTACAAATAATTGATGACACCCCACCCCACCCCCAGCTCGCCAGAACAAAATTGATGACCCCCCTTAAAATCATGGCCTATTTTTCTACATGATTATGATTCAAGGACAGCTGGCCGAACAACAGCACCGTGTTCATGAATACCCAAGAACAGAAGCAATAGATGGCCACAATATTATCTGTAGCTGTATCCAGTGATGATACCAAAGGTCAGGCGTCCAGAAGTAAAGGTGCTTTACCATTTACTCAAAAACCCGGGTTCATTGTACTTTAAAAAAAATCAGATATATCCTTTCAATGTATTTTTGTTCCACTCATATGCAATAATGAAGTTGCAAATTCAGAACAGATAAGGCGGGATTCGACCACACCACAGGGAGGGGCAGCTTCTACAATTACTTCACAACTGGAGTGGCGTGTTCTGAAGTGGAGATCGACTGTCTCACCGGCGACCATCAGGTTACGATACGAATAGTTATTATTATAGATAATAATATTGATAATGTAATGCAGGCAACACTGAGGTGAGGCGATAATGTTCAGAACTCATTTGTTGAAATAGGGAGGGAGATTATATGGGCTGTAATATCTCAGATACATACCACTGCAACCTGTCACCCAATTGATGATAGTGTGAGTCCCAAACTGTCATGGACGCGAAATGACATCAGATAACCGCCATCACTGTCGGTTTCTGAACTATTGGTCCTTCAATTAGACACCAACAATGATCTGGTGACAATAGGTTGGGTGTTTCAGATACCAACAATACCATACTGGCCATTGGTTGGTGTTTCAGACACCAACAATAATATACAGACCATTGGTTGGGTGTTTCAGATATCAACAATACTCTGGTGACAATTGGTGGGGTGTTTCAGATACCAACAATACTATACTGGCCATTGGTTGGATGTTTCAGATACCAACAATACTATACTGGACCATTGGTTGGGGGTTTCAGATACCAACAATACTGTGGTGACCATTGGTTGGTGTTTCAGATACAACACAATACTCTGGAGACCATTGGTTTGGATGTTTCAGATACCAACAATACTATACTGGCCATCGGTTGGACGTTTTAGATACCAACAATTGGTTGGTTGGATGTTTCAGATACAAAACAATACTCTGCAGACCATTTGTTGGATGTTTTAGACACCAACAATACTATACTGTCCATTGGTTGGGTGTTTCAGATACCAAACAATACTTTGGTGACCAATGGTGGGGTGTTTCAGATATTGACAATACTCTGCTGACCATTGGTTGGGTGTTTCAGATACAAAACCATACTCTGCTGACCATTGTTTTGGTGTTTCAGATACCAACAATACTCTGGGGACCATGGGTTGAATTTTCAGATGGATGTACAACTTCACAAAAGCCCAGTGGAAGCTCAAGAAGAACGAAAGAGATAGTTATACGTTAATACATTGTCTGTATTTCAGGTATTACAGACTGACATTGTGATGGATGTTGGCAAGAGTCTCAATCCTGCAATTGATATTGGTCAAATAGAAGGAGCGTTTATGCAGGTTCGGGTTTAAGCTGTATGCACGGTAACTCCTGTCTTGTACAAACTATATACGAACACTTAAAACATGTACATGGTGAAGGATAAATGCACATACAAAGGAGGTGTTAAAGTCAGGTAGTGCTGAATGTACTTTACGTTACCCGTTCCTGTTTTATGACTTGAAGAACAGAGACAAGCTTCCAGTAAACTACACTTAAGATAAAGAGAAATAAATTTAACAGTATATTAAACTGTAGACGTTTGTTTTCTAGGGATACGGGCTGTTCTGTTTAGAACAGCACAAGACCACGCCATCTGGAAGTATCTTGACACGGGGACCAGGGACCTACAAAATCCCCAGTTTCAGGAACATTCCGATAAAATTCAACGTCAGTCTATTCAAGGAAAGCTGCAACCCAAAGGCTGTGTACTCGTCTAAGGTTGGAGTTTACAGCGCTATTCATAATCTGAATTATACCAATCTATGCATACAGCAGTACCAGTATCTATTTTGGATTGTTTGTTATTTTTGTAATTCCTCTCGCAGCAATATTCCCACTATCTAATGACAGTCTCTATGTAATGCTTGACATCATGAACATGGACCTACACAGTTGGGATACGATGACATACATCAACCAAATCGGCGGTTCTGAACACCGATCCAATTACTTGCCTCCTAAAACACGCCTATGTTGCTGGAGACCAGTTCTATATATTTGTCAAAGTTACTCCTGTCTCTTTATGTATATTGACCAGTTTTTGTGTATTAACATACCCATGCATGGGCATTATGACGATAGATTTTGTATGCTTATTGTCTAACGCTGCACTCAGTAACACTCCAACTATATGATGACGGTCTGTGAAATAACCGAGTCTGGACCAGAAAATCCATTGATCAGGAACAACATGAAGTATGACAAACAATGGCTAATCACCTTTTCTTCCTCAACTCTATATCCTTGTTATTAGGCTATCGGTGAACCGCCTCTGTTCCTGGCGTCGTCGGTGTTTTTCGCCGTTAAGGACGCCATCAAGTCGGCGCGAGAGGACGCTGGGGAGCGCCGTGAGTTCCGTCTTGACAGTCCAGCCACGCCCGAGAGGATCCGCATGGCGTGTCGGGATCAGTTTACCAAACAGGTAAAACAACAAGTTTTGTAGAATAATACAGCGCCAAAACGGACTATCAATACCAGCGTTCGAAATACTGTTGGTCCTTTGATCAATATTTGCTGAGGGCCACACTCAGCATTATTCAAACTATATGACGACTACGGTCTGTTAATAATCGAGTCTTGGCCAGACATACCAGTTACAGATATATACAGGATACTAAACGACCTTCCGTGTAATACCATCTTTATTAAACGAGTTAATGATTTGGTAGCAAACGAGCGAAAGCGAGTTTGATACTAAATCTTTCACGAATTTAAGAATGGTATTTCAAGGAAGCGAGTTTAGCATTCTGTTTATTACTCTAGAAACATAAATTGATAGAAACTGCCAACAGTGTGATGACTCTCATGTCAATTATCCGCGAGTCAACCAAGGTCTAATACCAATGGTTCAGAAGCATTAGCATTGTGACGTCAAAACTGTAACCATTATGACGTCATAAGTCTAGCGGTATTACACTAGTGTAATATTGCCGTAGAAATATTACACTGCAGTATCTTCCACGGGCGAGTATTAATGTGGGAAACGACCCACGTCGTCGAGATACGATGTTGTTTTGTTGTTTTACGCCATACTCAGCAATATACCAGCGGTATGTACATAACATAGTCTGGAACACACAATCCAGTGATTAATATCATGAGCATCAATCTTCTCAATTGGAACAAGATGGCGTGCTTCAACGAAGTCAGCAAGCCTGACCAAAAAGAGAACACCCCATCCCGTTAATCGCTAGGGATACGGTGACATGTACTGATACTGACCACATATCTATTTTCCTCACATCTTACTGCGCGCAAAGGTTGTTACAGGGACCTGTTCTAACAGAGAATCCCTATGGGATTCAAAGATCTAAGGATCTAGGGTCTGCCAAGATGTTCTGATTATTATCCCTTGTATGTTACTATAACCCGGTCACCCGAGTTCCAACATTGTGGAGCATGTAACACGCGTCTTTCAACCCTGTTCCATGAAATACTTTCAAGTGTTAAACACTCTATTCTTTCTAGTTTCCGCCTGTCGAGGAGGGCACGTTCAGACCGTGGTATGTGGAGCTTTGAAGAGCCAGGAACATCGGACCTCCAACAAGAATTACATTTGAAACAAAGTCTGATGAATCTTAACTGAAGACTGGTCATGTGCGCTCATAATAGAAACCTCCAGTAGTCTGAAAATTGAACAGAATCTCTCTGACAGTACTAGTTTTCAACGAAAGTTCACCTTCCAATTGTTTTCAACTAAAGTTTAACCTCCAATAGTTTTCACACCATCATCAACACCTTCAGGGTGTATTTTACTACATAGAAACAAATTCTCATGACTTCTTTTGACAGCTAAAGAAAATAAGAAACGACCCTCAAATATATATACTCATGCCAATAATGGTTGTCACCCCCTTCAATTTTATTGGAGAGGGGTTGGGGGTTGGGAGGGGGGTGACAACCATTTTTGGCATGAGTATATATGCATGTCGGATGGATAATAGTGTACCGCGATTTAAGTTGCGTATGATCCTCAAAGTCAAGGTTATGTTTGCACGTTCGTTCTCGGCCTAAAGGCATCAAACCAGACCCTCGTGCAAAAGCAATCTCGACATTTAGGATCATACCCTACACTTCTATCTCTATAACCTGTATCGGTCCGGCGTGGTAATTCTTAACTTATACAGAGACACGTAGATGTACGTGATTCTGTACATAGAAGACCTTAATAAGAACCTACATAGAACATATTGGCTTGGATATTGCTTGTACATTAGTCATGCGCATTATTGCTTGTACATTATTCATGCGCATACATGACATATTCAGACAAGAACAAACAAAGGTGGACTGTAAAGATTGCTATGTCACAAAAAAATACTTACGTCAATTATGCACGACGATAACGCACAAGTACGCAACGTACACATAAGACGTAACACTTAATCCACGACCTGTAATCCAACACATCATAGCCTGGGACCCGAACCACACAACGTTCGTAGCGCTACGACATTCGTAAGCCTATGATAAACTGTAGAGTTACGACAGGTCGTAAGGTTACGAAGGCTTTGTGGATCTGTACCCTGAACACTAGCACAAAGAAGGTTCGGATGTAATGAAAATAAACTTTCCCCAAATAAATATTGTTCAATGTATTTCTTGAACATGTGAGTGAAAGTGGGGTTAACTGAAGTCATGTTTGGGTCTGGACCAAGCCTACAAGGGAAAACAGTCCCCCTGCCCTTGGGGTACAAAGATATTCAGTCATCCATTGCCAGACCAACCAATCCCCATTTCGAATGGAATCTTACGAGAGGCATTAGGTACAGGACAAATTCTGATCCCGAATATACACGGATTTGAACTCGGATTGAGAGAGAGCACACGTACATTAAAATATGTTCGCCAAACGCAGGAGTAGCTGCTGAAATTTGACATAAAGTCATTCCTCTTTTCCAACACTTTTGTTGACCATATGTTGTCACTCTGAATCGCCATGCATGACTATGACATGCCGTGATTCGTTTAAACCAACATTACGGGCGGTGGGGTAGCCTAGTGGTTATAGCGCTCGCTCGTCACACCGAAGGCCCAGGTTCGAATCCCCACATGGGTATAATATGTGAAGCCCATTTCTGGTGTCCCCCGCCGTAATATTCCTGGAATATTGCTAAAAGCGGCGTAAAACTAACTCGCTTAATCCAACAATACTGCATGGAGTGACTTGAATTTCCACACAAAGTGGAAAACATTTTGTAAAAGTGACACCGCACGCCTCGAGTCAAAGGCTATGTGATGTGTAGGCTATGTAAAGCCCCAATAAAACGCTCAGTGGTTAATGACAAAGTGGCATTCTTACAGGACACAATAGAGACTTGTGTTACCAGTGAATGTTATCCTTCCAAAACAACTGCACCCAACTATCGTGTAACACTCTAGGATGTGTGTGATCGGGTTTAGCAACCTTTAAAAGTGCAGTATTGCCTGCAACAAGACCTAGTACATGAACACTGGACACTGAAGGGGAACCGTTGAGGAGTGACACGTGGCTGGCCATGGAGCCCACGATCAAGGGGGGCGGTGGGGTAGCCTAGTGGTTAAAGCGTTCGCTCGTTACGCTGAATACCCGGGTTCGATTCCCCACATGGGCACAATGTGTGAAGCCCATTTCTGCTGTCCTCCGCCGTGATATTGCTGGAATATTGCTAAAAGCGGTGTAAAACCATACTCACTCACACACATGACAATATATACCGACGGAGTACACACGAGTGCTCACACTGGGCTACACGTAACCAAACAGACAAAACGGTGGATATCAACTAAAAAATTCGTTCAGGCATCATTGGATACATTTTAAGTGAATAAAATCTGAATTTAGTAAATACAAACTGATATATGTATGAATTTGTATGTACAAAATGTACGTTGTCAGTTAAACATGCATGCTGAGTCCGGTTGGAGCCATGAGCGATGAATGTGCCATGCAGCTTTAATTATTTTTTGTGGAATTCAAGTTCGGTTTAAGTTGAAAGTAACGTGACTCGTAAACATATAGTTACCAGGTAAAATAAAAAAAGTGTCCGAGTTGGAAGGGTGTAGTGTTTCAGTACATTGTCTCCCAGACACGACTCTGACTACAGCACTTCATCGTTCCGCTGCAGCCCTTAACATACTACAGGACAGCAGTATTCACTCGGCTAGATAACGTAACGTTTTATTTCCATTTGCTATCTAACCATAAGTCCGTCTTGTCCTTATCTTGTTGTTTTTGCTCATCCCAAGGTCAAAGTCAGTGTGAGAGACTCGCCGGGATTTAAAATGTGTTCGGTTCATAATTTTATATGTTGTCAGAATCATGTAAACGTTATGCTCAGTCTGAAGCCACACACATCCACTGAAGCCTAAACAATGTACAGGGCCGTGGTAGCTTAAACAATGTACAGGGACGTGGCAGCTTAAACAATGTACAGGGACGTGGTAGCTTAAACAATGTACAGGGCCGTGGTAGCTTAAACAATGTACAAGGCCGTGGTAGCCTAAACAATGCACAGGGCCGTGGTTGCTTAAACAATGTACAGGGCCGTGGTAGCTTAAACAATGTACAGGGACGTGGTAGCCTAAACAATGCACAGGGCCGTGGTAGCTTAAACAATGTACAGGGCCGTGGTAGCTTAAACAATGTACAGGGCCGTGGTAGCCTAAACAACGTACAGGGCCGTGGCAGCTTAAACAATGTACAGGGACGTGGTAGCTTAAACATTGTACAGGGCCGTGGTAAACAATGTACAGGGACGTGGTAGCTTAAACAATGTACAAGGCCGTGGTAGCTTAAACAATGCACAGGGCCGTGGTTGCTTAAACAATGTACAGGGCCGTGGTAGCTTAAACAATGTACAGGGACGTGGTAGCTTAAACAATGTACAGGGCCGTGGTAGCTTAAACAATGTACAGGGACGTGGTAGCTTAAACATTGTACAGGGCCGTGGTAGCCTAAACAACGTACAGGGCCGTGGCAGCTTAAACAATGTACAGGGACGTGGTAGCTTAAACATTGTACAGGGCCGTGGTAGCTGAAACAATGTACAAGGCCGTGGTAGCTTAAACAATGCACAGGGCCGTGGTTGCTTAAACAATGTACAGGGCCGTGGTAGCTTAAACATTGTACAGGGACGTGGTAGCCTAAACAATGTACAGGGCCGTGGTAGCTTAAACAATGTACAGGGCCGTGGTAGTTTAAAAAATGTACAGGGCCGTGGTAGCCTAAACAATGTACAGGGACGTGGTAGCCTAAACAATCTACAGGGACGTGGTAGCTTAAACAATGTACAGGGACGTGGTAGCTTAAACAATGTACAGGGACATGGTAGCCTAAACAATGGACAGGGACGTGGTAGCCTAAACAATGTACAGGATGTAGTAGCCTAAACAATGAACAGGGACGTGGTAGCCTAAAGAATGGACAGGGACGTGGTAGCCTCAACTATGGACAGGGACGTGGTAGCCTAAAGAATGGACAGGGACGTGGTAGCCTAAACTATGGACAGGAACGTGGTAGCCTAAACACTGGGCAGGGACGTGGTAGCCTAAACAATGGACAGGGACGTGGTAGCCTAAACTATGGACAGGAACGTGGTAGCCTAAACACTGGGCAGGGACGTGGTAGCCTAAACTATGGACAGGAACGTGGTAGCCTAAACTATGCTCAAGGACTTGTTAGCCAAACAATAGTTGGTGCGTGATAGGGTGGACGAATCTATGTTAAACTGTTCTTGCCGCCAGTGTTTGAGTGGAATGTCATTCATCTGCGGGCTGTGGGGTAGCCCAGTGGTTAAAGCGTTGGCTCGTCACGCCGAAGACCCGGGTTCGATTCCCCACATGGGCACAATGTGTTAAGCCCATTTCTGGTGTCCCCCGCCGTGATATTGCTGGAATATTGCTAAAAGCGGCGTAAAACTAAACTCAGTCAGTGAGTCATTCATCTGCATTTCATGAAGTACCTCAACATGTACAATGTTGCATTAATAATAACGGAAAGTGTGGTAGCTGTGCTCCATATAAAATGGCATTATTATTAATATTATTGTGGTACTTCGTCTGATTAATGTTTTATCAAAAGTTAATTGACCAAAACCAGACCTGGTGACAGTAGAGGAAAGACAGGTCCTCAAATATGGTTGGTGAACGTCGTTTAAAATGCAAATATTATTGATGATCTTCCATGAGTTGTGATGACAGCCGATAGTATTATCTTCCACCTCCAAAGTGATGACATTGAGTAACGCACTAGAAAGAGTCGAAGTAAAGTTCTCCCGGACGAGGGAGAGCATTGCACGACATTTAGGGTGGACGAATCTGTGAAGTCTAATCATTGCTTAATTGATCGCAGCTTTGGATGAGGAATGGATCTTGATTCCTCAGAATCAAATCCCGAGACTGATCCAAGGAATGAGGAGGCGTCTGGAATCAGTTGTAACCGAGGTTACACGAGATAAAGTCAGTATTTGGACTTGCAAGACATTATTCTTCGATTTCGTGAACAAGATTTGCGCTTGGTACTACTGTCTGTTGATTCTGTGCAAGAAAAATGAAATTCGTAGTGTTTTTCATGAAATGACGTCATTTTCCAAATCTGCATTTATATATTCTGAGATAACCTTGGCTATGTTTCCCCTCAACCCTTTCTTTTCACTAAAAAATCATATGGTATGGAAACTTTGATACATTTTATGCACCAGTTCATTGAATTGCTCAGTCTGAGAAAATAAGGATGTTGATTGATTAATTTCCATATATTTATTACTATGCGGATGTGTTGGGCTTTTGATTTAAATACACACCTGGATAAATCAATAACGATGACCACAAAACCGTGTGATTTATTCGGTTCATTAATTTCGGTTCATTGATTTAGGCAACGGTAATCATCGTGACGTCATTTTCTAACCATTGTTGTGATTTTTATGAAAAAGTGGCACAATATCTTATACACTTTAATCATTAAACACCAGACAAAATTATATGCAGGTGGAAAGCTCTAGCATATATTTAATCTAATCAGAACAGTGCAAGGTCGTTCCTGATTTTTGAGCAGAGACCCTGGCCAATAGATTTAGAAGTATATGGACACGCAAACAGCCACGTCACTGAGACTGGTCACCAGGTGCCGTTGTACAAAGCGATCTTAGCGCTAAGGTAACCGTAACTCCCATACCTTAACATGGACTTAAGGTAGTCTTAGCGCTAAAGTTGTTTTGTACAACGGCACCCAAGTTTATTAGGTCAGCTCTTACGGCAAGACATGTTGTCGCCAATGCCTGGGAACTCGACACGTGTAAAAACAGAGATACTCGACCTTCTTCACGTTCCACACTACGACCAGTTCTCGGGTTTATCTTTTTTGAATATAGGGTGAGTGTGAATGATGTGGCACTTACCCTTGGTGTCATCTGGTAGTTCCCAGTTATGGGACGTGTTGCTGTGAACCTGTAATTATGTCTTTCTGAAGAACAAGGACATTTGTAAAGAAGACCTCACCAAAACGTTCTTTTCTCGTCCTGTTTCAACCTCATTCAAACTATTTTCTTTATTCGGTTATTCACATTGAGGGATATGTAATTGAGAATGCTAACTTCCCGTTC